AATAAGCATCCACTTCGTAGACACCTGGAGTTTTCCTTGGGATCGCCCTCTCAGAAGACCACATGGCAGATGTGGTAGCCATTCTCTCAAATAATTCCAATGCCCCATCAACTGTTCGTGTGGATATTGAGCCATCTGATGCTGAATCCACCATGCTCTTGTGATAAGGAAGTAGTCCTGTGTAGAAGAATCGGATTTGGGTCTTTTTGTCAAACCCGTGTTGAGGGCACTTCCGAAGCATTTTTTAAACCGGTTCCAAGCTTCGTCAAATGATTCTGTTTCTCCTTGACTAAACACTGATATGTCATGTCTTAGCTTCGCTATCTTGGCTGGGGAGAAAAACTTTGTGCAGAATTTATGTGCCAACTCATTCCATGTAGTGATACTTGCGACCGGAAGTGAATCCAACCATTCAAATGCTCTGTCTCGTAAAGTATGTGGAAACAGCCTCAATCTAATAGCGTCGTCCAAAATTTCCTGGTATCTGAAATGTTGACACATATCCAAAAAGCGAGATACGTGTGTGTGTGGGTTCTCCTCAGCCTTGCCATAAAACTGGTGTCCATTTTGAAACAACTGTATCACATTGGTCTTCAACTGAAAATTAGGTTGCCCAAACGGTGGATACACTATGCTGGACTGGCTTTGAATCACTTGAGGAGTCAAGAAATCCCCTAGAATCTCATTCCCCTCGTCCATTGTCTCTCCTTCGTTAGCATGAATCATGGGATTGTTTACTTCATTGGCCATTTGTACTGGTGCTTCGCGGTGGTTTCTTTGTCATCGGTGAAAGGTACGCTCGATTTCAGGATCAGCTGGAATCAATTCTCCTCCAGGCAATCGTGACATGTAAATCTGATAAATAAACCAGAGCGAGCACTGAGGTTCTAACAATTTAAATAACTAAAACAAAAATAAAAGATAATGACCTAAAATAAAAACAAAAACAAAATTATACTAGCAAATTAAAAAAATTAAATTTCGAATTAGTGTCTCCAGAAATAAAATTAAACTAAACTCAATCCCCGGCAACGGCGCCAAAAACTTGTTCACGAAATATTTCTTTCCGTACGGGTCGTGACAAGTAATAAAGTGGACTTTAGAAGTCCGAGTATTGTCCCACAGAGAAAGAGTAGTTCAATTTTATTTATTTTAACCTTAATCGAAACTAATTGACTTAAGATTAATTTTAGAATTAAAAGCCCTAATTTTGGGAGAAATCCCCAAATTGAAGAACCCTAATTTCAAATTAAACCCTAATTACTCAAATTCACTTAACGAATGACTCAATTATGAAATGTTATGAATAAATGAAATGTATTGTCAATTTATGAAAATATATGTAAAACGAATGCACTAGGATCACGAATTCCCAAATAATTATTAAGTAAACCCTAATTTTACAATTTTGATAATCCAATGAGAATTTGACAAATCAATGCTCCTAAATCTATTCAATACTCTCTCTCGAGATGTATTGAACCTATTCTCATAAATCACTAGCCTATATTTCTATGACGGATGCAATTATACAAGAACACATGTATTTTTTTGTGAGCAATTAAAGATTTACATATGGCATAGGTGTATATTTCTGTCCCCTGTCGGACCCTATGATGAATTATATATGTCGAGTTTAATCCAATTTTCTCAAATTCAGAATTAAACCACCAAATTCACACAAATTAAGTGCACATTAATTGTGGAAACAAATAAATCAATATAATTCATTTAAATAATCCCATCGAACTATGAATTCAAAGTCATGAAATAACATGTTTAATAATAATTGCACGGTTCATCGATCACCTAGTTACAGAAATCTAGCCTATCATGATAAAAATAACGAAATCTATCAAGTTTTAAATAAAATACATCACTGGGTTATCAAAACTTGAAGAAATCCTGAAGAAATCTTGTAAATCTTCGCGTCAATCCTTGTTCTTGCCTTCAAATCCTCTCCAAAATGAATGTTTTTGCCTCCCAATTCGTTCCTTTTGGCTTCTGGACGTTTTTTTGCTATTTAAACCCGTCAAAATTAGGTTACCAAAGGAGTTGCAATCATATAAGGAAACTGCAAAAATCGGGCACAGATTATACCTATGCGACCGCATAGGTATATGGATTTTGGCGTTTTTAATCCCTGGAGGGTTACTCGCGACCGCATAGCTTTTCTACTATGCGACCGCATAGTAGAGTGAACTTCCAAATTGAGTCATTTTGATCCTCAAGTTTCATTCCTTCACTCCTTGACCTCCTTTCTTGTTTCTAGTTGCTCCAATGTTCCATTATAACTTTCAATTGGTGCTTAGCTTGATCAATTGCTCGATGTGTTCATCGGATTAACTTTCAAATAATTGCAATTTGGTCCCTGAATTTTCATTTTGCTCCAATTTGGTCCTTTTTCGACTCTTTTCTCCTGAATTCCACTATTTCCATAGAATCACCTACATTGCATGAATTCAACAAAATTAAGTCACAATTCAATCATTTTACTTGTATTTAAGTCATGTTTGTGATGTAAATAAGTGTGCAAAAACACACTATCAATAACAACCGTCGCGTGACCTCTACCCAATTTATGATTTTTGGCTAAGTGTTGTATTGACCGCGTAGTGGTAATGAGCCTCATGGTGGTCGATGGTCTAGCTAGGATGTAGAGTGCCCATGGCGGTCGATGTCCCGGCATAAGTATAGAGTGCCTAGGGGGTCGATGTCCCGACATGGGTGTAGAGTGCCCATGGGGGTCGACGTCCGGCATGGACGTAGAGTGCCTAGGGGTCAATGTCCTGCCATGGGTGTAGAGCGCCCATGGCGGTCGACGTTCGACATGGGCGTAGAGCGCCCATGGGGATCGACTTCTTGGCATGGGTGTTGTATGCCCATGGGTGGTGTGGGCTGGTGGCGGAACCTATATCTTGTTAGTTGTTATAGATAATTAGCGATGTCCAATATCACATGGAAACACATCATTCAATGCCTAGTTGATCAATTTTTGGAAATTTTACTTATCAGGTGGATGCCTAGAAAATTAATTTCACTTGTATGTGATAGCATTGTGAAGATATTAATATAAATACCATTTTAAGTACTTTGTTGGGATTCATATATTCAATCTCGATTTTGCTAGAAATATAAAGTTCTCAAAGGTGTTCAAGGAAAAGAAGTCATAAAAGATTAATTGACGCAAAACTCAGAAGTGATAAAGATTACCAAGAATTTGAGCTCCATTTTTGAATAGTGTATTGCTGGAAAATGTGTGGTTAAAAAATAAAGAAAAGTTATGAATTTACGTGTAATATTATTTTATCGAAAAATGTGTGGTTGAAATAGGGTCAAAAATCACTATTAACGAATGTATTTTGATGAAAAAATTGAGCTTAAACAAGAGCTTAATTCAGTAATTGAAACAAAACTTGATTTTTTACCATGAATTTGAGTCATTCGAACCTTAACCTTTTCCCTTTTCTGGGTCGATGCCCAGCAAATTTTCAAATAATTGTGACTATGTTAATAGACATGCCTTTAGGTTAGTTTATTGTGACCCAAAATTGTAAATATAATTGAGCAATGATATAAGAAAAATGGGTAATTGGCGCAAAACATCCCTACCTTTCAAGATTTTTGTAGAAAACGTCCATACCTTTAGTTTTTTGGCATATTTCACCCTCACTTTTAACTTTTTTTGCACAAAATATCCTTCCGTCAACTCCCCATTAAAATGCTCCGTTAAATAAAATAAAATGGATATTTTCTTTTCAAAATGTAGGGGTACGATTGTCCAAACTATTTTGTTCTTCACCGTGGCTTCACTCCTTTCTTCTTCAAATATTTATAACTAAAAAAGTAAAGCAATATGAAAAAAATTTGTACAAAATTATTCCATTCAATAAATAAGGGAAAATGACGAAAATGACTTTATTTCTAGTTGAAAAGAATCATGGTAGATGTAATGCTTGATTGCCCAAAAAATTTTGGAATGGTATATGAAGATAATGAATATGTTATATGTGGTTAATAAACTTGAAATGACCATTCCCATTTTGTGCTTACGAATGGTGTAAATAAGGGGTGAAGTGTGAAAACCAATTATAATGTGATTCTATGAATGGACAATACATAATATGGAGAAGATGATGAAAGATGAATGGGCATTCTTTCCATTTTAGCATAAAATCGAATTGGTGGTAACAATCCTTATCTTGACATTGTATTTGTGAAAAACATTCCCACCTTTACATCGTCTTTGCGCAAAATATCCCTACCTTTGTTATAAATTGTGCAAAAAACCGTTCCTACTCAACAAAACCATTACTCAACAACCAAGCTCAAAACTAGGGACGGTTTGCACAATTTATAACAAAGGTAGGGATGTTTTGCACAAAGATGATGTAAAGGTAGGGATGTTCACTACACCAAAAATGGTCATTTGCAACACATAAAAGGCAACATTCTATAGTTAAGTGTTGCTAAAGGGGTCTATCGCTACATTTAAATAAGCAGATGCTACTATTAGTTAACATAATTGAGCTTTTGCAACATTTTGTAAATGGATGTTGCTAATATCACCTTTTGCAATATTTATTGAATGTTGCGAAAAGTTTTATTTTTTGCAACGTTTAATAAACGTTGCTAAAAGTTATGTTGCTAAAACTCGCCTTTTACAACGTTCACCGAATGTTGCAAGAAGCTCACCTTTTGCAACGTTTATTGAACGTTGCGAAAAGTTTCACTTTTTGAAATGTTGCAAAAACATGAAACTTTTCGCAACGTTTAATAATCGTTGCAAAAATATTCAATAGATTTTATGTTTTGCAACACTCAACGAACGTTGCAAAAGGACATTTTTTGCAACATTCAACGAACATTGCAAAAAGTAAAATATTTTGAACTTTTTGCAACGTTCAATCAACATTGCGAAAACAATCCAAATCGACCCAATCCGACCTGTTTAATTTAAATAGGAAAAAAAACCTTAAATTTCAATCCAAAAGCCACACACGAGACTTTAACCTCTCTTCCATCTCTCTTTCTCTCTCACGCCCACAGTCCCACTCTACTTTCCACGGCACCGCCTCTCTCATTTTCTCACCAAATCGTCGACATCGCCCGGCGTCGGTAGCCCATTTTCCACGGTCAAGGGTCGTCGGTAAGTCCTCTCTCTATTTCGTGCTTTTTCCATTGATTTTCACTTTCCCATGCTTATTATTCTCATGTTCTTTTTTTAATTTCCAAAGGGGCACGAGACCCTATAGACCAGACAGTAGGAGATTCGACCGACTCGCTTCCTCTTCTACGGTAATCTTGTTCTCTTGCTTAGCCATTCTTTGCTTCCTTTTCATGCTGTAAGCTCTCGCACGCAAGGTAGATTCTATTTGATTTTGGTGTTGTTAGTGCTATTTAACATCTTTATCTCCTTTTACATATCATAACACTTAGCATAATTTTTGGATGATTGCAAGATACATAAATTTTTTGAATAAATTTCGTGGGCTATTTGTGTTGGGCTTTACTCTGTACTTTAGTATTTGTGTTGTTGTTGTTGTGTTTATTCCACTTTTACATTTATTTTGTGATCTTTCGTTGTGGAAATGGGTGTGGTATTTGTGACAAATGCGTGGTCTCTTGTGACATTATTACAACCCTAGTCATTGGCCCGTAAGGGGACACATATTATTATTTTTTATGCTGAATTATGATCGTGGAGGATGCTATTTTAGATAACTGCTGTCTCCTGCTAGTGATGTTTTTGCCCCCCTAGTATTACTCATTAAGGGGACATGTTCTTTTCCATCTCTCGTTTTATTGACTGCATCTATGGATCCCACCAATGTTTGGTGTTCAATTTTAAGGATATAATTTGGTTTTGATGGCATGAAGGGCATACAAAACTGTACGAAAGGCTTCTTTGCTGCCTTTAATTGCTAGAATTAGTCATTTCTTGAGAGGATTAATTGGAATTTGAAGTGGAAGGTCGAAAGATTATTAGTATTTAGATCATGACTTGACAGCAGATTCTGCTATGTAAATGTGTCATGGGCATCGCACATGTAAGTTGGAGTTGTATCATGTGATGGAAAGCACTTTACAAGGGTCTGAATTATCTCTCCAAGTATTTCAGTGAAGTTAAAAAGCATTATGTCTACAAAACTTTAATGAATTCGTATATTATCTGCACTTCTATTATTGATACTTCCAAGTTTCAAAACATAGCTAATGGTTTTTTTTTTTTAATTAATAAAAGTGTTTAAGCTTTTACAGAAATAAGGTCAGTTTTACATTTTCCAAAATTTGTGGCCTCGATCATTATTACGAAAATGATTATGACATAAAACTCAATTCTTGATCAAGCACAGTCGGAGATTTCCAAGTTGTTTTTCCCTTTCATACAATCATTCCTCCTTGAAATAGCCTGTGCCAAAAGTTAATGAATAAACTAATAGTTCCATTTTGTATGGCTGAACATATGGGTCAAGATAGTACGTCAATTAAATAATTTTCTCATGCCTTATGTCTTCCTTGCATATTGTGTGAGCATCAAATATTTGTAGTACACTATCTTTTTATATTTGCATTTGTTTACAGTACCTATAAAGCAGCTTTCCTCTTACCTTGAATTAGTGTTAATAGGTTATTTTTTTGAATAAATTATTTTTGTGCTTATTCTATTTGAAAACAATTCAGGTTGCAATAAGGATTGGTGCTTCATTTGTGAGTTTGAAGGTCTGATTCTAAAGGGACAGGAGCTGAGATCTAGTTTATCTCCAATTAGGATACTGTCTCAAATTCTAAAGTCATCTAATAAGTCATGGAAGACAAGAAGATGCCCACGAGTTTTTGAGGTATGTAGTGCGAAGCAGTTTCAATTTTGGTTTAAGAATTTGCAACTAAATATGTTGACTCTGATTATGTTTCTGCACATCAGGTATGCAGTAGATACAATGAGGCCTTAATGGGGAAGCATTGAGAATCTGAAAGAATTGTATACTGAGATAATTGCAAGAAGGGGATAAATCACCTAGTTTGATGACTATAGAGTGGGGCCGATAGGGTGATTTCACTAACTACTTAGTATTTTTTTTTTTTTTTTTTTGGGAAAATGTATTGGATTTTTAGGTGTTTTAGAATTTTGGATCTAGATTTTGTATGAATATTGTTACATTTTAGAGTTCAATTAATAATGATTATTGGAGTTATTTGATATAATTATTTTCTATTATGTTTTGTGATTGATATACGTATTAAAAAAAACAAAAAAAAAAACTACCACGTCAACGTTTGTTTAACGATGCAAAAGCCTCTCTTTTGCAACGTTTTTTTGCCGGCTTTTGCAACCTTTTTTTGCCACGTTGAATAAACGTTGCAAAATCCTCTCTCTTTTGCAAGCTTTTGCAACCTTTTTTTGCAATGTTGAACAAACGTTACAAAATCCTCTCTTTTGCAACATTGAACAAATGTTGCAAAATCCTCTCTTTTGCAACGTTTGTTCAATGTTGCAAAAACCTTTTTTTTTGCAACGTTTAACATTTTTTGCAACTTTGAACAAACGTTGCAAAATTTTTTTCCTCAACAGCAATATCAACATTCGCAACACACGTCAAAACGCTGCAAAAAGCCTTTTACAACATTTTTTGACCGTTGCAAAAATCTTTTTTTGGTGTAGCGGTTTTTTCGCAAATACAATGTAAAGATAGGGGTTGTTACCACCAATTCGATTTTATGCTAAAATGGGAAGAATACCCGTTCATCTTTCATCATCTTCTCCATCTTATGTATTGTCCATTCATAGAATCACATTTTAATTGGTTTTCTCACTTTATCCCTTATTTACAATCTTCGAAAGCACAAAATGGGGATAGTCATCTCAAGTTTATTAACCACATATTCATTCTCTTCATATACCTTTCCAAAATTTTTTAAGCAACCAAACATTATAGTAGCCATGATTCTTTTCAACCAGAAATAGAGTTCTTTGCGTCATTTTCCCTTATTTATTGAATGGAATAATTTTGTACAAATTTTTTCATATTACTTTACTTTTTTAGTTATGAACATTTGAAGAAGAATGAGGGAGTGAAGCCACAGTGAAGAACAAATTAGTTTGGACAATCTTATCCCTACATCTTGAAAAGAAAATATTCATTTTATTTTATTTGATGGAGCATTTTAACGAGGAGTTGACGAAATGATGTTTTGCTCAAAAAAAGGTCAAAGTGAGAGTGAAATCTTCCAAAAAACGAAAGGTATGAACATTTTCTACAAAAACTTTAAAAAGTAGGGATGTTTTGTGCTATTATCCTAAGAAAAATATCACCTTGTATCCATTTTTCAAAGATGATTATTATTACTTGACTTTGGTTTATCGTGGCTAGAAAGCTTTCGTGTGTGATAAACACGATTTCTGTCATGATAGTTGAAATTGCGACCTGTATTTTGAAAATATGGCTTACAAAATTATGATGATTGAGTAGTTAGATAGTTTGTAGCCTTATATCTTCTTGGATGAAATATTGTTGATTTGGTCAATTCTGAATGGCTTGAAATTAGGGTATATTTGAGATAATAACGGTAATTGGGATCTATATGATGGCAATTAAAAAATTTGAATTTTAGAATTATTTTATTTTGATAATACGTGATTTTTCGATATAATTCTAATTTACTTGATTTTTCATTATAGAAAAAGAAATGTATGGACATAATTTTGAATTTTCTCATCCAAATTTTCCCTTGACTAAATAGCCTATGAAAGACTTGCGCCCATCTAAAAGGGTCCATTGTCTTGACACATCAAGTCAACTCTCAAGTCTCCGGACATGGGACTCAGTCCCGGTATTTGATTAGAAATGAAGCAATTATAGCGTTTTAATATATACTTCTGGCCTGGTCCTGTGTTAAGCAAAAGCCATGTTTTTCAAGATTGCTTTACTAGCGCTGTATTTTCTAGTTGGCCAAGTAACAATGGAAGATGTCGGGTTCAAATTCAATGGATTCCGGTCGGCAAACCTGAGTCTCAATGGCATAGCCGGGATAACATCTAGTGGCCTCTTACAGCTAACAAATGCCACAAGACAAGAAGTCGGTCAAGCCTTCTATCCTAGTCCCATCAACTTCAAGAACTCAAATGGCTCGGCCTTTTCTTTTTCCACTTCCTTCGTCTTTGCCATAGAGCCTGAATATCCGGATTTAAGTGGACATGGGATAGCTTTCGTGCTTGCACCGACAAGAATCATTCCAGGAGCTCGTGGGTCCCAGTTCTTTGGCCTCTTCAATGAAACAAATAATGACAATTCCAGTAATCATGTTTTTGCGGTGGAGCTGGATACAATCCAGAATAACGAGTTTCGTGATATCAATTTCAATCACGTTGGTATTGATATAAATGGTATGACATCTAATATATCAAAACCAGCAGGATATTATGCTAATGGCAATGGCGTGCTTCACAACTTGACTCTTTATAGTGGCAAGCCAATGCAAGTTTGGGTTGAATATGATGGTCTAGCCAAGAAAATCAGTGTCACACTAGCTCCACTTGATGTGAATAAACCAAATACTTCTCTTCTCTCCCTGCTATACGATCTTTCACCCATACTTAAACAAACCATGTACGTCGGCTTTTCATCATCTACCGGTTCAGGACTAACGTCCCATTATGTTTTGGGCTGGAGCTTCAAGGTGAATGGCATATCTCAGGGGCTCGATCTATCTCGCCTTCCCAAGGTACCTCGAATTGGACCTAAGGAGAAGTCTAAATTTTTGACAATTGGCTTGCCTACTATTTCGTTGGTTTTGTTGTTGACAGCCATATCAGGCATGGCTTATTACATGAGAAGGAAGAAAAAGTATGCGGAAGAGATAGAAGACTGGGAACTTGAATATGGACCTCACCGATTCAAGTACAGAGATTTATATGTAGCCACCAAAGGGTTTAGAGAGAAGGAGCTACTAGGGACTGGGGGATTTGGTAGGGTGTTCAGAGGTGTCTTGCCTACATCTAAAGTTCAAGTTGCTGTGAAAAGAGTGTCACATGAATCAAGACAAGGAATGAGAGAATTTGTGGCAGAAATTGCTAGCCTTGGCCGGCTACGCCACCGGAATTTAGTGCCACTTTTGGGTTACTGCCGGCGTAAAGCTGAGTTGTTATTGGTATATGAATACATGCCTAATGGAAGTCTAGACAAGTTTATCTACGACCAACCAAAATTTCCTCTCAACTGGGACCAAAGATTTCGGGTCATCAAAGGTGTGGCATCTGGACTTCTATACCTACATGAAGAATGGGAGCAAGTAGTGGTTCACAGAGACGTAAAGGCTAGTAACGTCTTGGTTGATGGTGAATTAAATGGAAGATTAGGGGACTTTGGCCTTGCAAGACTGTATGATCATGGAACTGACCCTCAAACTACGCATGTGGTTGGTACTCTAGGGTACCTTGCCCCAGAGCATTCAAGATGTGGCAGGGCCACACCAAGCACTGATGTATATGCCTTTGGAGCCTTTCTACTTGAGGTTGCTTGTGGTAGAAGGCCTATAGATAATCGAGCACCCACAGAAGACATAATTTTAGTGGACTGGGTTTTCTCCCACTGGAATAGTGGTGAAATTTTACAGGCCGTTGACCCAAAATTGGGTAATGAATATGTGAAAGAAGAGGTGGAACTGGTATTAAAACTTGGATTAATATGCTCTCATTCTGATGCTGATGCTAGGCCAAATATGAGGCAAATTCTGCTGTGCTTAGAGAGCGCTGTCGCATTGCCAGAATTGTCATCACTTCGTATTTCTGGAGCTGGCATAACATTTGCACATGGTGAAGGCTTTGATGAATTTATCATGTCAAAGCCATCTTCGGCGAGCAATGCATTTTCGTACGATTCCTCCGTTGCTGACTCCTTGCTATCTGGAGGTCGATGATTATCTGATATATGAATATTTATCCAGACCAATAAAGAATAAGATCGCTGATAGAATTTGTATGTAATCTTACATGAATAAATTTAGTGCTTGTTTGGTAGAGATTTTGTTAATTGATTTTTTGACCGTTAGAGATAAAGTGGATCCTACTTGTAAGAGAAAAATTCAAAAATGACGGTTGAAATAGTAAAATAACGACAAAAAAATTGATTTTAATTGACTTAAAATCTCTACCAAATAAGCTCTTAATTTCCTTTGGTGCAAGTCATATTCATTCTTTCATCAAAATGTTAAATTTTGTAGAAAAAAACAGCTGTGATAGCACGCTAAGAAGAGTAGGCACCTAAGGTCACTTCTATCTTCCCCTAACCATGCATAGGTGAAAGAGGTTAGATAGAAATAGATGTTGATAAAGGATAGATAGTCAATGTAATAAAACTAACCTATAATAGCTTAGGCAAAAATGAAAAATAAAATAAAAAATAAGCTCACTGCTATAATCTAAAAATAAATTATTGAGTTCGCAGCGTCTTGACGGCCCCATAGAACAGCCGGTCATATTTAATGGTCACGCAATCAAGTGCTCTTGGGAAATAAGACGGAATAATCTTTGGTAATACATATGATCATATTGTTGGACCCGGAGGCAATGCAATAATTGAGATTTAATGACACAATATGAAATATGTTATGTAGGCAAGATCATAGCGATTAAAAACAAGATTAAAGTAAAGAGACAAGAAGAAAATTAGCAAAGGAATCGATATTTTATTAAAGACAATATGTGAAGAGAATACAAGAATTCACCAATAAAGTGTCACCTTTAGGCTCTGCTTGTTTCCCATTATTTGGCCATTAAAATAAAAAAATATGACAATTATCCATCACATCAAACTATCATATTTAAATTTATATCTCTTGTCTGGGGCTCGTAAAGGCCATATTTTTCATTCTCATTTTTACATTAATGGAAAACAAATAGGGCCTAAAATGAATGGAGAGCCACATTTATAAGGACATACCAAACTATAAAAATTTCATAAAGATGGAATTAATATGAAAAATAATGTGGAATAAAAGAAATAATATTTTTCCAATAAAATCACCTAAAAATAAGGAAACAACATTTTCCAAAAAATACACCCGAATTTGGGGCACAAAATTTAACAATCTCCACCTTGACTCAAATCTCAGTGCAACGAACAAAGCTTCAAAATCTCTCCATATGGAAAAATATGTCCAACTGCATCGAAATAACCAAGCTCCTCAAACAGTAACCAAAACTCTCCACTCACGAAAAACATCATCCTCTGCCTAGCGTCCATAAGCGACAACTGAATCCTACGCCTAGGTTCCCAAAATCCAGTTAGAAATTAAAATTGTCCAAACATGGTAAAAACACACCTTCTAGTAGAAATTACACACAATGCTTGATCAGAAGGCCCCTTGCTAGAAGTGTCACCTTCAAAGACCACAAAAGCATTCTCGACATCTCCAACACCATACCTACGCTCAATGGATCCAATCCTAGTATTTAAACACAGTGTATCCGTTGAAGTTGGTGGCAAAGCGGAATCACCACGCTTTCCATAGTAGTGTTCTAAACCGACCCAGAGCCAATCACAACTGAGACCTTTTTCGTCTCTCCAATTCAACCTGGACACCCCTTCGGACCTTCAAGACATTACATTCACCTGAGAACTTATACCCTTTTTGTTAGGTCTAAAATTGTAATTGGCATTCTATGAACAAAAAGGACTTAATTGAACATGTCTAAAAGTCAAGGCTTGATGTGCAATATTGTATAGTTGTTAGGGTTTGATTTGTGTATGGAAAGGGAGGTGGACGACAAGTGCAAGAACTGGACAAGAACGAGAGGTTCTTGGAATTCCACTTGGTGATACAATCAGCTAAAGACCAGGAGGTTGTATTGGACAGCAAATTGGGCTGCAGAAGGTAGATCGAGAAGCTAGTAGGAGACTAGTAGTATCTACGATAGTAGATCGTGAGACTGGAACAGCGGGTGTGACTAGGTACGGAGTTTGGCAGAAATTATACTTGCTGGATTGGTATAGTGGAAACTACTGGCTTGGTCTCGGAGTTTTACTCACATTGGGGTTTCTTCGTCATCAAACAACTGTATTATTTATATTTCTGCAATTTACTTATTTTCGGTAATTCAACGTAGGATAGTAAAGCATGTGAATTGACTTGGACACATTAATAATTGTGACTTGTTGCATTTATTAATTAATTTGTAAAATTCCGCATAAACACCTATTCACCCCCCTCTCTTTAGGTGTTATTTGGGTCAAATTACGTTATTTCAAGTGGTATCAGAGCTAAAACTCGAGTCCTGACCCATTGCTGTTTAGATGAGTCAATCACTGTCTGTGCCTCCGTATTTTGACGGAAGCAACTATGCATACTAGAAGGTTAGGATGCGTGCTTTTCTCAAGTCCTTAGATGACCGTGTTTGGGTGAGTGTACAAAATGGTTGGAAACCTCCTTCCACAACTGTGTCAGGTGTTGTCAATCTAACTGATAATTCATTTTGGACTAAGGAGGAATTAGCTGATTGCAATTGGAATATAAAAGGACTTTATGCCTTGTTTATGGCCGTGTCTCCCAAAGAATTTAGGAGACTGTCAATGTGTGAAACTGCTAAAGAGGTATGGGACATTCTAGAAACTACGCATGAGGGAACTAAAATAGTAAAAAATTCAAAATTGCAATGCTAACCTCTAGGTTTGAAGAAATCAGGATGAAGGATGAGGAATCGTTTGATGAGTTTTATGCAAAATTGAATAACATTGTAAACTCTAGTTTCAATCTAGGTGAGAAGATTCCTGAGTCAAAAATTGTGAGAAAGGTTTTTAGGTCTTTGTCCGAGAAATTTAGACCTAAGGTTACAGCGATTGAAAAGAGAGTAAGGATATGGATACGGTTAAGATAGAAGAACTCGTAGGATCCCTTCAAACCTATGAACTCACCATCTCACACCTAAGAAAAACAAGTCCATAGCGCTGAACACAGTTGGAGAAGAAGAGTCTGAGTCGTCTGACATAGAAACCCTTAGAGATGAGGAAATAGCTTAGTTTGTAAAGAAGTTCCAGAAAGCTTTAAAGGGCAAGAGATAGTCCCAAGACAAAAATAGAGGAGCCCCTAGTAAATTCCAAAAGAGAAGAGTGATAAACCAACTACTAGGAAGTCTAGTAAGAAATCTCAAGTTGTTAGGTGCCATGAGTGTCAGGGATTTGAGCACTATAGAAATGAATGTCCTAGTTTTAAGAAAAATCTGAAAAAGGGAAGGAGCAAGGCATTAGCTGTGTCATTGACTGATGATGATTCAAACTCAAGTGATCAAAGGGATTCCTCCAGTAATGAAGATGAAAAGGGTTATATGGCTTTTGTGTCTACAGTTAAGAGTGAGTCAGATAAGGACGATGAGAAGGTTGAGGAGGATGTAGAAAGTGAGAAGTCTACTGACGATACTGAGGATGAGACGGATATACATGAGGCTTATCAACTTCTGTTCAAGGAGAGTCTCAAGATCAAAAAGGTAAATAAGGCCCTATTTAAGAAGGTAGAGAGAGAGAGAGAGAAAGAGAGACTCACTAATGATCTTCAGGTCTCATCTAAAAACCTTAGTGAGTTGAAGTGTGTCAATGAGAAGCTAGAGGACAAGGTTAAGACACTAACTTGTGAGTTAGAGAAATCGAACATTCAATTGCAGTCTTTTATTAGTGGGACTCAGAAACTGGATGACCTGTTAGAAATGAACAAACCCACTGGGAATAGGTAAGGTCTAGGATTTGTGAAGAGTGATAGCAATGTGACTAGTTCATCCAAGACCACATTCGTGCCTGCTTCCAAATATTCTAGTATTTCAAACAATCGTGAATCCAAAAGTAAGAGCGTCACTAAACTGAATGCCACTAGAGCTCGTAAGATTTCTACACCAACAATCACATGCATTTGAGCCTAAGTTCATCCCCACTTGTCATCAATGTGGTGCTTGAGGACACACGAGACCTAGATGTCATAAGCTAGCAGATAGGAATAGAAGTCAGGATATCCCTAGTCAAGTAAACTTCCTTTTAAATCAGGTTAGTCACTTAATTGAGATGGTGACAAAATTGACTAGGATCACCTCGACCTCTAGAAAAGTTTGGGTCAAGAAATCTGATGTGGGTAGGTATGGTGAGAATTCAAATTGTTCTGTAGCTCATGTTGCATATAAGGCTCAAAATACATGTATGTGGTATCTTGATAGTGCTTGTTCTAGACACATGTGCATTAATAAGGCCTTATTCTCTGCCTTTGATGACTGCAACAGTGGTGTAGTTACCTTTGGAGATGGGGGTACGGCACCTATTCGTGGTAAAGGCACCATCAACATATCTAAACTTCCTACTATATCTAATGTGCTTTATGTAGAGGGTCTTAAGTCCAATCTATTGAGAATTAGTCAAATTTGTGATGCTGACTATGAAGTGAGCTTTGTTCAAAAGAGATGTTCTATTTATGACTCTTCAGGTGGTGTTGTCCTTAAAGGTGTTAGAACGTCTGATAACTGTTATGGAGTTCTCTCAAACTCTAACTATGTGTGCAACAGTGCTAAAATTGATATGTCCGAACTTTGGCATCAAAGACTCGGCCATATTAACTATAAAAGCATGTCAAAATTAGTCAAAAAGAAAATTGTTGATGGTTTACCTAAAATTGAACAAAATGAAAATGTTGTGTGCAAGCGGTGTCAACAAGGAAAACAACTTAGGATAAACCATAAACAAACATCTAAAATCTTGAAAAAACAGATCCTTAGAACTTCTCCATATGGATTTAATGGGACCTTCTAGGATTGAGAGCATAGGAGGTAAACGTTATATTCTTAATGTGGTAGATGATTTCTCTAGATACACCTGGATTGAGCTACTAAGAGAAAAATCCGAGACTTGTGATCTGATTAAATCCTTGTGTAAAAGACTCGAAATTAAACAAAATCTTTCCATTTCTAGGGTTCGAAGTGATCATGGAAAAAGAGTTTGAAAACTCTAATCTTGAAAACTTCTGTTTGGA